ATAACAGTAACAAACTATAAGGTATGACGAATGTAGCGGACTGCCTTCATGTATGTCATGATAATTGAGTGGATTACGAATTGAGATAAGCAACCATATTTATCATTCTTAAGCTGCGTTGTGACTAGGTTGAAAAAGGTAATTGTTCCAAAAGTTAGCGAGCTTTTACTTTTCTGAACCTAAATGATGAAGTAATTAATGTGTCATAATGCTCACCTCTGCTAGTCTATACTTTATGCCTACCATTATTCACAAGCAACTTATAAATAAGTACTATCAATAAGAATTTCGGGTTTCATCGCGTATAGTTCTAAATGCAATAGTTCCAATAATGTTTACATAATATTCACCATTTATTAATAGCTTGTGTACAATTTAGAAATATATTAGGTCAGCGTCGAAAAGTAAGTATAAACGTAGATTTTTATATCTGATTTATAAGTAGAATAAGAATCAATATTACTATGAACACAAAAGACAGAGGTTGAAGTAAATCATCGTTAACGATGAGGTTGATAGTGATAAAACGTAAGTAGGAAGGGAAGAATTGATGGTTAGAGGAAACATAAGGAACAACAATGAAGAAATAAATAGTTTTTGAAACCCTTTTCATCAATTAGATCGTACGAAGTCGCTAAGAACATAAATCTTCCATTTAACTCTATATTTTACGTTGAATAACCTCGTTTGTGTGACGGCGGTAATAAGAAGCCGAATTCGGGTTTAGTTGGATGAATTTATTTCAAGCATTCGTTCGTCCAGAGAGACATTTAGAATAAGAAGCAAGAGGCGAAGCAGGGCAAGAAAGTGAGATAACTTCTTTTGATCAAGTGTTACTCGTTATTTATAGCCAGACAAAATCATGCTACTGACACGTGATGAATAGTGTAAGCAATTAACACATTTATTCCCATACAGAAATAGTCAAGGTTAATAAGCAAATGATTGGCAATATTCAAATGTGACATGAAATAAATCGGTCTGTCCGGCGGAAGGAATAATCAATGTAGGCCTGACATAGTATTAAAAACAACGATTTAGGTAAATAGCGTAGGAGAGCAATAATTGGGCATCGTTCCCTTACATGGTTATATGTCTTAATGGATGATTGAGTTTCAACGCCTTAGGGTGAAAATATTTGGCCCGGAAGTGTTGTGAAACTGTTTTGTCCCAGTGCGTAGCTTCTCAGCAATAATCATCCACGAAATCTGCAACGAAGATTGGACACAAAGCCTGTAGGTCTGTGCCCAATCGAAAATACATTTCATTTCGGTTCAATCAAGGGTTTCGAGATTTTTATAAGTTTTACTAACTGAAAAAATATTATGATAATGTGTCCGGCCTTACTGTATGACATTCAGTTAGTGGTTATCTTATTTACTTTTCCCTTCCAATGCCTTTTTATCTCCTGAAGCACTCCCCATCCTCCTGTTCACGATCAGTTACCTCAGTAAATTCTTAATATTTCTCCCATTCATATTATCTACACTTTTCATACAAGTTTGACACCATGAACCATGGATGTTAGCGATTCCAGTTACCTAAATGTCATTTCTGTGCTCTTAAGTCCTTCTTAGGAATAATAGGGATAAACATCATTGTCTGTTCGCTATATCTATCTACACTGCCACCGAATGTAATTCAGATGGTGATAAATGTTTGTCTAATAGAAGGATTTCTGCTCTCATTCAAAAGCCAGACTCTCAGATGTCTTAACCATATCAGGGGATTTCAGTGCTTGAGTGTATGAAAAGAAGTGAGGGACATTTAAGTGGATCTTATAGTGTAATTTTTTGTTAAACAGACAAAGTTTGCGATGATGCCCAGAAAACAGCCTGTTTCTAGAAGGAAAGAGACTTAAGTAAAATGTCAGATGTTGTCTGATAAAGCAACTCAAAATGAAATCAATCATGGACTCAAATAGACCATATCACCATCACCCGTGCTCTATAGAAGATCGTCTCTCATTCTGTAGTACGTGTTTAGTCTCTGATCATTCTCTAGTACCAGCAAACATATTTTCTAATCTTGATGGACGTAAAAAATCCACATAATAAAGACCTTTTGAATTTTTACTTAATAATTAAAATTTCGGGACCATGTTTCGGGAACAGACATATAACTAATTAATTAATAACCATCGAAATGAGATCTCTCTTGAAATATCTTGGCATAATCTCTAGCGAGCATCAGTGTTATCTATCAGTGAATAAGATCAAAAGGTTAGGAGTAATCCCTTGACTTCGGTTGCATTTTATGAAATAAAAGATACTGAGAAACTCAACACTTTGAGCTTGGTAGATAAATAACATAAGTAGTGGTTCGCAGTGGAACAGGAACATATAGAGAAGGCCGAGGGAAATAAAAAAAATCGATAACTTTCAGACATTAGATAAATGGCTATTGGAAATCAGCGAATTATTGATACCATTTCAGAGAAAGATGTTGTCTTTTCTATTACCATTACTAGTCATACTACTCTGGTGTCGCTCTATGTTGGTGTGGTTCAGCTACCTTAGCTGATGAACGTATGTGCTAGATTTTATGCTGCGTGTGACTCTGACGAAATGACGTGGATTCCTCAAGACTGTAAACCGATTGCAGCTACGTCATGTCCTGGTGCATATTATATGACAGATAATTTGACTTTTTACCGCACACTAAATGAATGACAAACTATTTTCAATGGATGTGTGCAATTAATACACGTGATTCATCCGGGCTTGATTCACCCGCAAAACAATCAAATGGAAAATATGCATCTGCCTCAGACTCCTTGTTATAATCTTGAACGTGATTAAATTTTTGTGCCTGTGCAAGCTTCATGTCTAGATAAACTGGTTCTCTGACTGCTTCAATAAAACTTTTTATTCCCTCTGATTCATCAGATAACTGACTAGGGATTCTGTTCGTCATACATTGGTTGTGCGAATATCCAACATCCGGCACAATGACGTCAGAGATGTGACTAGAATTCGACACATTCGGAACATATTTGTCACATTCACTAGGGATATCACTAAAGATAAATCCATTGTGATGACAAATAACATCTGATGTGACACCACGAGGATTGAAATCGGATATTAATTCATCTTGGACTTATTCTACACATCTGACGCATATCTGGCAAAATAATATCATGAATCTGATCAGAGTATAGTTCATTGGAAACATTCAACTTAACTAGATCGGAATTGAAAAGTTTAGCATCACTTGCAAGGGAATGAATAGTAGTTTTATAAGCTACCCGAATGTGTTAAATTTTATCCCATTTAAGGCATTTAGGATTTCGAAATACACGTGGATTATATGAATGAAATTCAACATGACAAACTCTTATCCAACCGGAACTCATCTCCGTGACCAACTTATCAACTCCCCAATGATGTTACCTGGGTAACCTTAAGTAAGCACTGCATCGGGATGACGTAGTCATTTACAGGAATCCTTCATGTCCTGACGAATCAATTTATGGAAGTTTCCTTCTTTACAGCAGTCAAAATTAGTACACTTTACGTGGTCAAGTAATATTATTAATGGCTTTATTCAGTATTATATTTTGGTACAATACAGAATTCTCATTGAGAGTTCCGTAGGAAAGTGAAATACGCTTTTGGGAAATGTTAAAGTTTTTAATAAGCTGTAGACTTTTTTTCCCGATGAATATAAGGAAATGAGCCACAATATTCACACTATCAACATCTTCCCTGGTCATAGCCCAGATTTCGAACCTTCACATATAATCCTCAAGAGCATCAGAACTGTAATGTCCAACTTTTCTATCACAGGCTGCATCGCGACGCTAATGTGACGATTAAACGTATTTGAATTATTAAGAGAACTAGGAATTCCCGAAATAACTCAAATAATGTCAAATAGAACCAAGTGACTACAAACGAATGTATTGTAACACGTGTAATTAGCAGTCACTGGAGAGGGGAGAACTAAAGCCGCAACACACACAATGTTAACTGAGCACTTCATACAACAGAGAGAACACGGAATGGAGACCACCAGTCGTTTATTTGAAGATTAAAACTCGCGGGTTATGTACAGAAAGCAAAGCCAGTTTACAAAACACTCTTATGAGTCATCCTGTAAGTTTAATGCATGCAGGGATTGCTCTTCTTCTTCTAAAGCATTTATTCTTGGTTGCCCTGCAATAGAAAGAAAACAAAATGTATTAACAACATCATACGTTATGATTTTAGCTTCATTACAGTATTGTATTTGGGATTCGAAATCACACAATCATCAAGTACAAAGAAATCGTTAGTTCGTACAAACGCCACAAAAATTGTCTCCCCAATTTATCTCAGTCATGCTTTTGGATGTTTTATGTCGGCTTCATTGATATTTAGTTACTCAGATAACAGAAAGTAATGACATTCCAACAGTGATGCCCCTATTTAGGATACAGAGTATTGACATGAATTATCGATGTTCGACCACTTTTGATGGCTTCATGATCTCGATAAAATGTCAACAATCTGCACAACTCTATATTGATATTAGCATACTGCCATTTTTATTTCTGGTGAGATCCGCGTGTTTTGTTTGCTCTTTGTAGGACATGTCGCAAAGTTCTGCTATCAAATCGGTAGTTTCTCTTCTTGACACTCTAAAGTGTGTCGGCATCTGTTATGAAACATGAATTAAATGGTTTAATTCAGTTTACTTGATGCAAAGAACGTCATTCTGTGAAATATGACTTCTTATACTAATTTCTCAAGTAATTTTTTCATGGCCTACCAGGTAACAGAGCGAATGCCACTGAACTAATTATAAAATCTTTTAGTAATTACGTTTATGAAAATACTATTTGCGATTATGTAGCAAAATAAAATAACAATTTTATAGATCTCCAGCATCTTGGCACTGACCTCTGTGAACAATCTCAAAGATAAGTGGGACATATAGTGAATATATACTTATCTTTTCTCAGATCAAGTTATTGTTTCTTGACCAGCGGCAATCCGCTTTGCGCGCTACCGTCACATAGGTCTGGTTTGTTCCTCGAGTAATGATCCATAAATTATTTCCTCTTATATTATGTCCTATATGGCAATACTGGTCTTTTTAAGTGGCACGAAAACCTTGGGTCTCTAAAGTGCATCTTAATAAACCTCAATTTTCCGGAACCCAATTATAATTGGGTTACCCAAGCTCCCAATGTTAGGGAAAATTTGACCCATTTTGGAGAAATGGCACAAAACCCCCAAAATTTCCTCGAACGTTGGGGGTTTCCACAAAGTTGGAAGCTTGGGTAGTAATTCAGTTTTTTCTAGATTTTCGTATTAGCTCATATTACACTTGGCTGATTTGTGATTTCAATATAATTTTTATAAGTGTAGCATTGTACTTTTGTTTTTTTATTTCATTCGAGATAATTCTTATAACTTAATTTTTGGCATCAATGTCTAAATCTGGACATTTCCCTAGTGCCATCAAAAAATTTCTAGTTTTCCTCAGACCACGAGAAATTTTTTTCTTGATTTCACCTCTCCAAAGTTTTTATTTGGAGCCTTCCCTTAATTGATAAAGTTCTTCCAGAATCAGGAGATTGGAAAAGTTGATAAAACTAAATCTGAACTTAATTGTTTGGTTCAAGTTATGTACTCCATATGATATTTATCATACTTAAATATAGTGTGGTGTTGAAGACTCGTAAGGTGCAATCTACGGAAACTATTGCTTGGCAGTTCCGTAGCTAACGTTCATGATATAAAGCAGATAAACATCCCAATCTCACTATTTCGGGAAAAGGCACAAAACCCTAAAATCTGGTATAAGGATATTTTTATCTCTTTTTGGTGCGCCTAGTGAATAGAATTCAGTTACTTAGTGTGATTTCATTAAGCTATCCTAGGAAATGCGTTTTAATGTTCCTAAAGTGTGGTTTGACCCTCAACCAGTGACTGATGCTAAGTATTATCAACCATAAAATCACCGCTTCTTGGTGCTTGTATAAAATTATTTCTGCCAATATAACCAAGTCCGCGGTAGTGTATGATCCTAATCGATTACTCTAAATCCTCATAATCTAGTTGTCAAACACATTTTCAGGTGTGGCTATAAATATATATGGTCAGTCTGCGAAGTATGCAGATTTGTGGTCAGAATCCTATGTAGAAGATAGCAGACGTAACATATGTGAAATTCAGGCACCTTAAAACGATTATTTTATTGAGGCTATCAAAAACATCAGTGGGGGAGTTATATAGTAGGGATTAGAATTTCATTATATGAGACAATTAAAATTTCTACACATTTGGCAAACAAACTTATGACTTTGAACCTTCATACTTTTAGGTTACAATATTCCCAAACAGAACAGACTTATCAAATTAGGTAAACAACCAATGAAACATAAAAAATTTATGTGGCTCATCTATCAGGTACTCGTTAATGTTCTCAACTTTGAGCTTTAATATGTCAAAATGTACCCCAGAAGAAGATGAAATGATAATATGTATAGATGGAACAAGAGAAATCGTAACTGAATGCACCGAATATACAGTTCTCTCAGAAATACTTCCTGTTAATAAGCTTTTTAATGACATAAAAGTGGGATCAAAAGGTATAGCTAAATCCCTACTGGGTGTTATTTTAGGTCTTGTTTAGCAAAGCTTTATAAGTCTTTCTGGTCTCAGGTATACGTAGATTCATTTCATCTGCCACGTCACCCCTAGCACTCAAACAACCACACATGTATTAACATCTATTTGGAACTGTCTATTTTAGTAGGTGCGTGCAAGTACATTTGCCTCCCGTCTTGAAGAAAAATTGCACTTCGAAAGTGCAAAGTATATGTATCATTTCCTAAAACTGCTAGTTAACTGGGTGGCACGCGTATCATCGTATAATGAGATAATGTTGTCCGCATCATTGGGGTCGAAAGATCTTTCCTGAGATAGCGAAATTTGTTCACTCTACATGAAAAGAAAACAGAGTAGATCAAACTGAAAGGAAAATTATATATAATATATTAGGTATGGCTCTTAAAAATTGAGCATTAACGTCTAGGGTAGTTATAACCTGTCTCTTGATTATTGGATATGATTACTGTTCGGGTACCTGAACACAAGGAACCAATGACTAAATTGGACTTCCCCTAAAGAAAATATAAACGTGCAACCATGTGAAAAATAGCGAACTTGCCATACCAAGGTATTTGGCGTTAGAAAAGAAACCCTTAGTTAAATGGAAAAGTTAAGCAAAAATAGGTAGCTCACTTAGTATTGGAATGCCATATTATGTTTTTAGCCACCAGAAATTCTGTCTCTGAATAGTTTGCGTACTTATTTAGGACTAGGTCTAGCACCCATATTGTCCATCTAGTAGTTTGACGGGACAGTAGCAAAATCACCCCAAATACCCTGGTATGGCCGAGAGTGGGGAGAGTTCGTGCGCTTTAACTGGGTTAGTGGACATGGAGAGTCCACCTAAAGGGGGGGGGTTGAAAAACCCTGATTCCAAACCAATGGTGCACATGGGCTCCATTATCCTAAGGGAACAAATGGCATATGAACCAATCGTTGGTCACCGGCTACCGTGAGACTGCATATCGTGACGTTGCTCCACTGCCTTGCAAATTAGACCTTTAGGTCGAAGGCTCCGGGTGTGACCCCCTAAGAAGACCATCTGCTTCGGTTTGGGCACCCGGTCATTATCACAGCCCTCACACATATCAAATGAGATTTGTGTGGCGCATATGTATTTGGTACCTCCTTGTACTAATATCTATGTGTTAAAATAAATAAATAAAAATAAACACTAGGACTATTTTATTGATACAAATGTGATCATCCGCGGTTTTGTCATATTTCACCTTTAATGATTGTGTCGTATGGTCGTATAATATCGCAAGTCAAACTGATGCACACAATGCTCTTTTAACCCATAACTGGACACCGCGGTTTCATGTTTTGCAGTTTTCAAAGTATCAGTTAAGCCTTTTTTTAGTTTATTTTTAGACTTCGTCAACAATCACTTCATTAGCTCTAACAGTAAACGGAATAAAATCACTAGTCAGTTTAACTAGTAATTTCCGACTGTTATCCTTGAAATTGTCACTACGAAGTAATTGTGAAGTCAGTATTTTGGTTTGACGGGGTAGCTCTGTTCAGTTTCACATTTAGTCCTCATTCAACCACTTTGCTGAGTATATAATACAGTAAAACGGTTCCTCCATATATATTGTCAAGTAATAGCTTAAGTTATTGTCATATCATTTCTGTTACAAACTTAGTATATGAATCTTACATGATAATTTACAATTGGTTCTGAATTTCGAGTCAGTACTGTAGAGTTTTTGATCTTTACAGGCTTTCAACATCAGTCTTTTGTAAATCCTATTTCTGTTCAAATGATATTTAATCCAAAGTTCTCATTCGATACTCCTGTAAGTTCTTTTCATTTTTTGTCAACCAAATGGTATTCCAGGATGTCACACCAGTTGTGGATGCTCAAAATCTATCATCTACCCATATATCAATTACTAGATTAGTAGATACCTTAATAGAGACCTATCGTAAAGACATATGCTCCGACGAAAGTGTTGAAGTTTGCAGCGATGCTATTCCACCAGGAGTTTTAGAAGATGAAAGTTCCACTACTCAGTTTACAGGTAATTGTGTCGTCATTCTAACTAAAAGATTATAGACGTCGTTCGAGATAAAAGTAGTCGTGTTCGCAAGAAAAAGGATGAGGTAAACGTATGTCTTTGTTTACCATCTGTTAAAAGTCAGAAAAATTTAATTTTGCTCGTGCTGTTACAAAATACAAGCAGGTGTCGTCATTTATAGAACTCAGTTTAGCTAAACCATTACTTAAAGTAAGTGCAGAATAAATTGTTCTCAGCATTAGTCGCTTACTGAAATGTCCTTAGACAAACCAACTCCTATCCAGTGCGCATGCATCCCTGTTGCTTTACTTCACCATGACATATGTGCCTGTGCCAGGACAGGGTCCGGTAAGACGTTAGCGTTTTTGCTGCCTATTTTGGAGAGACTAGCAAAAAAGCCAACTGATTTTAACCATGCAGTTACTCGGGCCCTTGTGATCAGTCCGACTAGGGAGTTAGCTGTGCAGATTTTTAACGTCGCCGAAAAGCTAGTTAAATATTGTCCAAAGCTCAGGATTCAGTTAGCGGCTGGTGAGTTACTCTATTGTGAGATATATTTATGGATAAATAGGAGGACTTGATTTACACTCACAGGAGGCTTCCTTGAGATTGAATCCTGATTTGGTAATTGCAACACCGGGACGTCTGATCGACCACCTCTCAAATGCTCCTAGTTTTAACTTACAACACATCGAATACCTTGTATTGGATGAGGCTGACAAGTAAGTGCCGTATTCATTGTTTTTTTGTAAGGCTTTTAGACGAATACTTTGCAGAGCAAATAGGAGAAATTATTAAATTCTGCAGCACAAAACGACAGACCTTGCTATTTTCTGCTACAATGACGGAAAGTGTAAGTTGTCAAATTACTTTTGTAGTAACATTTGGGTTGTTTTTCCATGAATTTCGACTTCAGCTCTGAAAAATTAGCCTTCCCTTTATTTAGCTTGATAGATAAAGATCAATGTAGAAACTGGTACATGTATACATCGGTTCACGCTACCACATCCTATTATTACAGCGAGATAAAATTGTCAGGGTGTCCCAGAGTAGTAGAGGTAATAACAATATTAGTGCTAAGCGCACTCAGTCTATTGCTGTGAAAGTACATTTGGATTTTATCAACTTCCATAATTTATGGCACAGGTGAGGACTCAGTCTGTCTATCAAAGGACCAGTATAATGCACCTCAGTTCTCTTTGTATTATTTTACGCCTATGTATTTAGTGGACGTACATAGGTTGTAATATTTATTTCTAGCTCGGTAAATGGTTATAGTCACTATGTAGTTTTACTGTGCTTTTTACTATCATGCGTATAATGCTGTTTTTTACATGTACATGTGTAAATCAATCGGTTTTTCTTTTCTTTTCTGGAACTTTATGCAATTGGCCATGTAATTCTTCATGCATATAATTATTCTGATGTACATAATTTTTTTGTGATTTTAATACTGTGTAGATAGCTTATATCATGACATTATTTTCTGGATCAGGTTAAAGAACTTGCTATACTTTCGCTTCGCGACCCAGTACAAATATTCCTCAATCAAGCAACTGCTGTAGCCCAATGTTTACATCAAGAATTTGTTCGCATCCGTCCACATAGAGAGGATGATCGACGAGCGATCGTCGTAGCCTTGCTGATGCGTCATTTTCGTAAACGGACCATAGTTTTCTTACCAACTAAAAAGGATTGTCACAAAATGCATATTATGTTAGGTTTGCTTGGTCTTTCATGTACTGAGTTACATGGCAATATGACACAAGCACAGAGGTTGGAGGCTTTGAAGCGTTTCTCGTATGTTGGTGTAAGTGATGAATGTAAAAATAAAAGCGCAATTGATCAGCTTTCTGAAATGAATAAACATGATATACGCCCTGTTGATATTCTTTTGGCAACTGACTTAGCATCAAGAGGTTTGGATATTCCCAATGTACAAACAGTAAGTTTCAATTGTGCCTTTGTTGTCTCAATTGTTATACTGTGTATCATATACTTTAATGTGTTTAAAGTAAACAGCAAAGTTGCTAAGTTTTACGAAACGCCAACATTTCAGCTTAACCAATCCACTGATTGTTTATCAAGAAATACGTCATTGTGGCACCCTCCATATTCAAGTGATGGACTAATTAGTGTTCCGTATGATAATATTGCCACGAGTAAACTCTAATGTTTGTTATTTGCTAGAAATCACTATGTCCATGTTATTTCTAACAACCTAACCTTTAGTCAATCACGTTTTGGCGAACGTTATAAACATTTCCATCGTTTGATCACGTCTAATTACTTCAGATTTGTCTGAATATGTAAAAAACATCCTTTATTGGATGCTCAAAGCGCTTCATTTTTGAAATTTAATTGATTAACTTGGCAATTGTAAGACTCGGGAAAAAAGCTAAACTAAATATACGTCATATTACTCTGTATTTATAGTGCCCGCAGTCTGATTCCATAATAAACGACGATAAGTGAACCATAAAACAATCGTCTGTCTGATTTCGCATATTATACTTAGACCAACCCCGTTGGACAACCATGATAATAAAAGCGAAATACGGTTTGAGTTAGAAGAGTTTATTGCAGGCATTTATCTACACAGAAAGACGGTGAGAAGCTCAACATTAGAGAAGGCTTTTCAGACAACTCGATTTTATCAAGTCCGACTCAGTATTTACAAACACAGAAGAAATACAAGTGTACATATACATACCTGCTGGCATACACACATGCATAAAGCATGATCAAGGTTATACGTAATTAACCGACTTGACCAAACATATATGTACACAGTTACTTGGAAAGATTAGATTAGTTCATCCGTCTAAAAGTTAGAATAATCCATTCAGGCGTGTAATGCTACAGATTCTTAAAAATAAATGGTGACAATTTTTGGCCTTCAGTTTCTTCAAAGATTAATTGAGACTACATTGATGCTTGGTAAAATCAACGACTTATTGGTGTCATTTTTGGACTGGAATATATATTAGTCCCATTCTTTTTTGGTTTCCGATTGGTTATTCTCCCCTTTCTGTTCCGATGTAAAGTGTTTCATGGTGTGCCCATACACATGTACCAGGTCCTACGTTTCCTATGATTAACAGATTACGTGTAGATATAGATTGTCTTAACAATTGACCTATGTATAGTATGTATTTAGAATTAGTAGGCTTACACAATAATCACTATTATTTTGGGTTTGTGTGAGGTATATATGTAGTTATGCAAACGTGAATCGGTAGTCACTCATGTTTATCTACTATCAGAATTTTAGTTGTAGCAAATTTAGAACGAAACATCTTAATTCTAATGATGAGAAAGATACTCAGTTTCATTTGTTGTTTCTTATCTCCTTACATGAAAATCATAGGAATACATTTTTGTAGTATTGTGTACACTAATTTCCTGCTGGCTATGTGTACATTATTGCTATTAAAATAATATATTTTGTAAAAAAATTTACCATCAAATAAAAGCTAGAAATTTAATGAAGTATATATAATGTGGTTATGGTGTAGATTGGGTACACTTAAATCAATAAGTGTATGGTCCCCGTGGTGTCCATTTTAGTTATTTTCGAATTACAAATTGAGTTGTTCAGTGAATCAGTAGAAACAGTACTTAGAAATATCATTGATTAAATAATCATTTCTGATGTATTATTCACAAATTGATTACTGTTTGGAGAATCTTTCTTCTTATAATTGTTTTGTTAGATACTATAATAAAAGATTTAGTGTTGCTATTAACCTAACAACAAAGATTTTTTTAATCCTAAGGTTATCAATTATACTTTACCTCAAACTATGAAACAGTATGTACACAGAGTTGGTCGTACCGCTAGAATTATGAATGTTGGTCGGTGAGTTCCTGTTTATAAGCTCATGCTTTCCCAGTAATTGTAATGTTTTTTCTACGTTTCTGTTTACGGATAAGCAACTACAGTAAGACACAAGCAAATCACTTAGCTATGTCTTCTTTTTGGACGTTTATAATTAATAATTAGTAGAAAGCCATGTTCTTATAACTCAGCGATGTATTTCTTATGGCACGTATTATAGCTTGTTGAGTAATTGTTTAATCATTCTAGTAAATCAACAATCCAGTCAGTCTTTGCTTACTCTTACTAGGGGCAAAAGGTAAATATTCATATAAGTTAATTATTCTTTACATCAAAACTTGTAAACTATCATAACGGATTCTCAATATGATAATAGTTGAAAAAAGATATACTTATAAACGTTTAGAGCTTTATCGAACTATATCCCATTTAGTTTAGTCCTATCTCTCAACAATTCATATCGTATTACTCAGCTATTTCAATAGACATTGTGTCGTTTCTTTTCAATGAATGAACAAACTCTCGTCAAATTTGATCATCCTTGTTATTTTAAGACTTATTTGGTCCTTACAAAACTTATAATCATGATTGTATTGACAATTTAGAGTGTACAATTGCTATATATTACCGTTGTTTGTATGAAAATTACTCACCATCTTACGTACAAAAATCAAGCGAGTAAGTCAAATCGTCTAAGTAACAGAATGTACTAAACTAAAGATCAATTCTGAATTAGGAATGAGGTGAAAAGCGTCTAGTTCACTTTACTTGTTGCAATGTTTCTGTACAAATACGAGATTATGTTCCTTTTAAGCTTAATTACTATTACTAGATAGTACAAGATTTCTAAATTCTGCGAGTTATAATTGTTTCGATTACATTATGTCATTTTTTTACTAACTTTACTTGATAATTTCATTTAAAGAGCAGTGTCTTTAGTGGGTGAGGATGATCGCAAAGTGATGAAAGAAATAATGAAACAAGCACCTTATCCGGTTAAAGCACGAATTATAGCATCAGGTTAGTTTCAATAATCTCTGTTTGATGATTAATAAACATTTTTAACTAACATAACGTCTCAGAACCAGTCGCAATGGTCTAGATGAGTTCATTTTTTATCGTCCCTTGGTTCCCGTGTTCGAAAATTATTTCATACCTTTTATTCTGTGGATTCATTCGTTCTTATGGAATCATATTCTGTATGCATAATGTTCTTTTGCTATCACTGCTACTTTGATATTCATTTTGACAATTTACCTAGCCGTGCTTATGTAGTGTGGTAATTTGAATATTTGCACATATGTTCCAGGTTCTACGTCGCTTATAATTGACTGACTGACCACATTTACATTAGTTTTAGTTAGTAGTTATAAAAGTTCCATTCAGTAGTAGAAGTTGCACAAGCTTCGACATGAATATGAATAGAAAAACTAAAACATCCAGCCTCTAAATTATTACCTGGGTAACTTCGTCGCATGACTGAAGTTTTGATAACCATGTTTACATTCTGTTAATCATCATACATGAGAGAATTTAGTGTTATAAGTTGTGATCAAAATTTGGGTGAATGGTTTTGCACAAATTGTGAACCGAGTAAATAAAATTTAAAAGACAAAATGTATATTTGCGCGGAATTTAAAGTTCAGGGAGTGATAATTTGTTTGTTTATGTAATCGAAGTGAACGTTCGCGATGTCCGTCCTAAAATGCTCGAAATCGATGATAAGACTAATTACTGTGTTTAGGTAATGCTCATCTAAATCCAACCTTACCCTATAATCAAAATCAAATCATTCTAAGATTTTTTTGAAAAAAAACTTATTTCAGGCTACCATGCTAAACGCTCAAAGTATTAAAGTTCAGTCGCTGTGATTTTTATAAATATAACTTTATGGATAACTTATTTAGTAGTTCATAAAACAACACATTAGAAAGGAAGATGAAACTAGTCACTTATACGAAGTATGCATTTTGTAAACTACGAAGTAAGCTTCAAACTATCAATTACTAACTAGTTTTTTCTCATTCTTGACTAATTAATTACTTACTGAGTGCCATCAAAAGTAATGTATACAACTGCTTTAATTTAAAAGCCACGAAACATATACGAATAATAGAGAGATCTAATGTGACGTTTAGCGCTTACACGTCTACATCATTCTGATAATTGTTAAATAAGGATACTAGGGATTTTTACAGCACAAAGTTGTCTCCCAACTGTTTCATATGTAGTCCTAACACAACTTTAGGAGATAGTAGTTTTGGATATACCTTGAAGAGAATGCCTATATATGTTTTGAAAGTTCTAGATCCATAATTTATTGATTTTAGTTTTTCATCTATAAATGCTTCGGGGAATTCAATTGTGCAACTTCTACGGATATTTTCTAGATGTTATTGCTACTTATCAGTCCAAAATTACTCACTTGGAACCTATAATTGGAAAAATCTTGGCTGCAGAAGCTGAGGAGCGAGAATTGAGGGCCGCTCAAAGTCAACTATCCAAGGCTGAGGAGTTAGTTACTTGTATGAAGTCTGAAACGGCACCGCTCTCATGTGTGGAAAGGAGAGTAGACTGGTTCGCTGAACGTAAACGTGATAAGAAGACTATTGGTCGAAGTAAGCTTAAAGCGCATAACTTGTCCATGTGTCTTGTATTAACTTTTACCTTGATAAATACTGAATTTACTTTTTTTGAAAGGATACATTTTCAAACATGTTCCTTTGGAGTTAATGTAGATTTATTCAATCAGTCGTCGAGACACCACCTCATGTTAGCACGGTAAAAGTAGGATATTGACAAGATCAGAAACGCAGAACTGCTTTTTAAAGCTGTAACAAGACATCCGTCCTTCCCCAATGGAATAGCACCATCAACCCTTAGAACCGATCAGATGAGAGTTTGTCTAGCCCTCAAACCGATTAGTATCTTAGTTCTGCTAGTAATTTCAAACAACCATTTGGAAGAACTAAGTGAAATCTATCAGGACCATCTAATTTTCTGCTCTCATTTAGTTATGGGCGTTTACACTTAATTGAGATTCCATTGATAAGTAGTAGACATCTGAATATTAGCTATAGGCCAGTTGAACTGTTTTCCAAAGTATTTCAATCGCCTTGTTTGAAAATTGATCATGGTTAACTAAGAGCTAACTTTTTAACTAATCTAGAGAGTTATCTGTTCTAACCTGTCACCACTACTACTCCATCTCCTTTGCTTTCATTATCTACCACTACTCTTGATCATCTCGTAAACTTTCTACTTTTATTAAAGTCCCCTTCGCTTCTCATGTTCGGAACCTTTCAAAATAAGTTCTCAAGGATTTACTAGTTTGGTAGAAGATTCATTGGCCCTTCTTGACCATTTATTTTAGTTTCCATAGAGATCACACTGCTGGTTTTTGCAGAGAACTGCAAATCGCGCTAGGCTCCCCCAGGATAAGCAAATACCTGTTGGATTAATTGTTTGGTCCAAACATGTCCATGGCATTTACTTTAAAATTGAGCTCCACCTTTTTGATTAAACTCCTGTATTTAGCAAATACTCAAAACATGGCTGGAGTGTAAACGTGTTTTAAGAGAGAATTGATTCTTTTATTGACCCTCAAGAAGTCTTTAGATCAGTGTACAGTGAATCACTGGTTCACCAAATCAGCGTGGTAAGGTTTTTGGGAATGACCGGGATTAGATCTTTTATTCATATCCTGGAGAAACAGAATACGCTTTTATCCCATTCAACAAGGTTTGAGTGTTGAAAGCTCCAAAATATTTGTGGAGCGATTTCAGGAAAGCAATAATATGTCGTAGGATGAGGTTGTCAGCATTGGTTGGTCATCAAAGAAAACATGAGATCGGAATTTAAAACGGGGAGAAGTGTTAACTGAGAATAATATTAACTCCCAGCAATTAAGAGGAAAATCTACACAACGATCATATCACATTAACAGACCAGCTTATTTTGATCGTGCAATGTTGACTAAATTCCCGTCAGTCTGTATTAAAAACACCTAAATGCTTTAAGGGGCGAGTCGTTATGCTCCCATATACTGGTGTCGTCATCAAGTTATTTTGATTGCTATTTAGTTCACGGGGTTACATCTTCGATAAACACAATCTCGTAAATCGTTTGGGTTGAGATATACATAATGTTGAATAGGCTGCCATATATCTAGCTGAGAATATGCAGGTGGGCAGTATGCTCTATGAAATGTAATTACAAATTGATAATCCTATACAGGTTTAAATACAAAGCAAGTTTAGTGTGTGAATAGTAATACTACTTAACTTTCTAAGCTAATGTATGGTAAATTAGAAAATGGATTTCATTTTATAGCATTTTTATAAACTATATTTAAACTAATACCGAGACACTACACTTTCTCAAAAGACACTAAAGCTTCTGAAATCAAGTTATTTCTGGATAGAATTAGAGACGATTTTACGAAGAAAATTTATTTTTTACGATGACATTTGCTGAAGCTACTAGAACATAGTGTAGCAATGGGTAGCGAATTGTTAGAAAATATCTAATACCAGAAGTAGGTTCTATAATAAAAAAGATGTTGCGATGAAGATAGTTTATGGCTGAGAGATAATTGCTCGCTAGATGAACATGAAGAATTGAGTAGTTCGTTGTTGTAATGATAGCTTATTAGTAATTATGAAGAAATGATGAGTCAGTAGGAACTGTCTATTGATTATGGAAGGGGACAAGATACGAGGTAGAATATATTGCTTTTGTACATGGATTAAGCTCATATTTGGGGATTGCTAAAGCCTCTATGATTTGTTTGTATTTCCTTCGAACCAATTTGTTTGACTCTATGAATGATCCTAAAAGAGATTTTTGGTGGAGCAACGTGACCAGAACTTACAAGATGTTCCGCAATCGAACCATTGACTGAGTTGGGTACCATCTTGACAATATCTTATCCCACATATTCATTGTGAACGGTCAAGGTTGTGAAAACGTGACTAACTGGGGTAACTACCAGCTGATTGCGAAGACATTGGTTGGCATATGTAAGTTCGAGGACTGAAATACCTACTACATGTATGTTAAACTGTTTTCAGCATCGCGTTTCTCTGCTAGTAGTAATGGTTAGATTAAAATTAACCCTAATGATTTTCTTAAAAACTCTGTTAATGGTTCTCTTATTACATTGTTTTCAGAACTCAAGGTGTCTCAGTCGAAAAAGCGCAAAATCAGTTGTGATAGTGATTCTGAATAATACTTATTTCAGTGTAAATTATCTTTTATATTTCTTTAATTATGTTGGGATATAGGACATACCAAGCATTTTAAAAAGCAAAAAATATTGGAAAAAATTTATTGATTTTAACTACTATGGCCACTGAAATGTTTCTAATGAAAAGAGTGTATCAGGAAGTTCATCACGTTTCAGATAACTAGATTGTGTACCTTTTTTACGGATTGACTGGCTGGCAACCCAAACCGATCGTCTTATTTGTTCAGCTAGAGTAATGTCCTCGTGACATGCGACGAAGTAAGCTAGTGAGCCAACAAAACAGTCTCCTGCTCCCTACGAAAAGAGATTACATAATCATATAAATTAATACAGTTTGGCGCCCTTTTTTCTGTTGAGTAATAAGTAATAGCGTTAAAAGAGATTTATGGTACATTTCGATGTTTTTGTTGTTAATGATTCTCAAGTCACAAAGTGGTTGGTTATCTGCTTTCGACCGATATTCAGGGCATGATCAATTGTTTGTAGCAAGCTCAATAGCACAATCTCCTATTTTTCTGTCAGTAAAAGCTGTTCAAGAGGAGACATGCAAAGGCCCATTTTATCAAGGGCGACATACTCATCTTAGACGTATGATAAAATAGTAATATGACTACGCGCCAGGTGGCAGGACGAAATATACTGAACTTGGGTCCAAATGATGATGCACCCTTCAAAAATAGCATTACGGTCTTGTCGAATTTTGTGACGCGATAACTCCTATAGTTAGAAATTATTAAGTCCCCCATCGACGATCATTCCAAATAAATGTATTAGATTGTTTGCAACCCCTTACTGGGACGTTACTGGAATTTTTCATCAAAATAGTAACATTGGGTCGTTTTTACTAAAATAATTTACTCCAATTCCATCAAACTCCAAAATTGCTTCAGGGATTAGAGCTTCCCTTTCTTGGCAAGTAATTCTTAGGATATTTTGTTAAATTTTCGCAAAATTCGATACCCAGCAAATATAAAATTTTACTTCAAGTCTGTCTACACCTTACTAAAAGCGCTTAATATGGGTACTTAACAATCTTGGGATATTGCTTTAGTGTTCACTGTAGACTTCTACTTATATGCAAGTTTGTTGAAGCAGTTAATAGATCAATATTAAATTCAGGAATCGCAGACTTGACAATAGCTCAAACGTACTACTTTTGTCTGTAAACCACAATAAACTAGAGGACAACGTTATGATAATAAGTTCCGGGGGTCGTGTAGCCAGATGTAAATACTTATTTAATTACAGGCTGTACGTTACCTGAGGAGTCTGGGAATCAAACTCAGAGCACGTTTACGTTTAACACCACATTCAGGTTCAATGTAGTGTTCAGTTACTCGCTTGTGAAGTCTACCTACTTCGAATGTCTATAGAATAGTCAAGTGTTTTTAAGAAAAGATTTGCATCCAAACAATAAAAGTCATAACGACTTGTGGTTATTAATTTGTAGGCTGTGTTTAATGTGGATGAGTTTGGGCTTTTGATGTACTTAATGGTTAATAGTTGTTAAGGTTGGTATTTTACAAAAAGCCTCATCTCTAACTGTCATTTCTAGTGAAAAACTGAAGAATAATTCTAACAGTTAACTTACTGTTGTATCAACTACATCAATTTTACTTGGTGCTGAGAAGTGCACTACCAACTTCTTTTGGTTATCAAAAGTAATACGAGCCACTTCGCTAGCGTCTTTGGCATATATATTTTCCATATCTTGTTCAGACAAAATTGCAATAACTCCTTTACTTCCTAGAGTTACTATGGGGTATTTGATCTTCTTTTTAAGCAAATAGGTAAGACCAGGAATAAAAGCATCTATATTCAGTAAGCCAATCTCATCTTTGGAAAAAAGTGATTCAGAATCAGACTCAGTTATAGAACAAAACTCAGACTCATTTGGGCATACGAAATCACAGTTTGACAAAATATCTTCCATTAATTCGTAATTCCCCAACTTCTCAGGATTTCCAGAAGCCACTGGCCCAGGTGCAGGATTTAAAATTGTCTTTATACCTTTAGCACGGCCAAGCCTCAAACTATAGAGTGTTGCTGTTGGATTGATCTAAAGTTATCAAAAAAATCAACACTTCGGCCAATTAATGACCGATAATTGAGTTAACTAGTAGATGGGGATGAAGGTCCAAGCAATTAGTATTTCGCTACGTAACGAATGTCATATCAGGAACTCTCATTACAATTCAAAGGTACAGTTAAAAACAACACATGAGTAATGGCATATTCTGTTGGACACTTCCTGTTGTATAGACGACCTTGACATGCTGAGTGCCAGCGAATGTCACAATATACAGAGTTGTCTTCTGTTTGCTAAATTTGACTTCTCGCAAGTAGAAAACGCATAGGTCTAATTAGAAGTAAAAGAAATTGCTGTTGTGTACGTTTTGTTCTCGAAACCTCTACACAAGTTAGTTATAGATTGGTGTTAATTTGTCAATTTTGAATGTATGTTTCACATAAGTAGATTCATGGGTTCGGCGGGATTACTATAAGCTAGTTTTGCATCCATCGCTAAAGACGAAACAACACTGAACAAACGATCTTCTATAAAAGGTGGACTAAGTGTTGTAAACGTAGTAAGATCTCTCGAAGTCCTGAAAAATATTTGGCGAGTTAAACTACATTTTCCTGTTATAATTGGATACTCAGTAATTGGTGATAAAGACTCGAAAGTCCTATTTGAAGTTTCTACTCCGACGTCGGGATTGTTTCGGATTTCTGTTTGAGTCAGTCTTGATGCATCATGCTACAATTATTACATGTATTCATTAATTTAATGTAGAGCAGAAAAGTGTTACAACAAAAAACCCAGAAAATGAACCACACAAATGAAGTAAAGGGTAATAAACTAAATAATAAATTGACGAAAGGGAAGTTCATTTTACTCTCATAATAATTATGGTTGAAAACTACAGCACGATTGCCACTGTTAAGAATAAAATAGAGCTACTCTTGCCAACAAGGTGTAAACTGGGACTTTTGCGGTCAGATGAAGCTAAAGATGACTTCGGATAAGCCATGAGTGGATCCTCTCAAGTATACACGAGGAGAAGTGCATGTGAAAATGTTACATATTTATTTTGCTTTCGCTAAGAAATATGTGCTTTATTACACAAGGCAATAAAAATTCCAGTTTCTTCAACAATAAGATAACGAACAATTTGGTTAAACTCTGAAACCGGAAAGTCGTTACTTTTGTGAATGTTTGAAACACACAGGATTTTATAACTTATTACAACACTAACGAGGTGTGTATATGCAACGTTGGGCTAGTCCACAGTTCTCTGCATGCTCTGTTTTTGTTGTCGATGAAGTTGAAGACGCTTCTGCTTGGTGTGTGAATTTGCATGATTATTTACTGTGATGTCGAGACAGTAAACCTTAGCGTCGGTATTATGTGAAAAGATACTAAGTTCAATAGATATATTAGGGTTTGCGGTTTACTTGATAACTAATCAAATCATGATTGCTATAAACTTACTTCAAACTGACAAACCATTACTTTTGTATCCAAGAGAGTTAGTTTCTCTGCAAGAGAAATGTCTTTTTCTGATACAAGCATATTTGCACCTGGGACGATGATAATTTGATTTCCACCTGTTCTTGTTTCAACTGTAATCGATGCAACTCCAGTACTATCCATTGATGTTCTTGATATACCGTCTAAGTTCAAATAAGGATATTGTTAAGTAATATACTAGTATACAATATGACAATGTACTGGACAAAGAAACTAAATTTCTATTTTTAAAGGAGTGATTAGGACTAGAACTAGTAAGGAATGTCTTGATAAAGGCGAGTAAAGGTAACCAAGATGGGTTGCCAAATAAGACGTGTTGTTGCAAAAAATCTTATTTACTTCTCGAAAAAGTTCAAATTAATTAACGACGCCTGCATAATTAATGTTGACAGGATATAAATTATTGTTTCGAAAGTATTGGCTATTTGTTTGCATTAATGGGGTGTAGGAGAAGATAGGAATTAATTTTGTGCAAATATTGTTAAGTCATTGACATTTCTCTTAGATTTCACTTACCAGTGTTCACTCCAAGTTGTTTTAAGTGCTGAACAAACATTTCACCAAAGTAGTCATCTCCAACTTTTCCTATTAGTGCAGTGTTGCATCCCAGTACTCTGGAAGCCACACACTGATTCGCCCCTTTACCCCCGTAACCAAGAAGAAAACTCGAACCAGTTACTGTCTCTCCTAGCTTTGGAATAATACTCGTGAATCTAGGAATACAATACATTAGGGTTATTTGGAATTACACAGATAGGTCAACGTTGAGTGAGCCAACAACTGTGACGTGAGATTTTGTCATAGTAGCGAATTTACTGCTTGTGTCAAAGAATTGAGAAAACATTTGTACATTGGGCAGACAGAGACTTAGAAACATCAAATGTGTAAAAATGGTTGTTGGAGATAGAAAATGCACAAAGTGATTAGGACTGTAAGTTCAAATGAGTTTTTATTAGAAGAATCTTTAACGATACTATAAAGATCCATCACATAGCTTGAGCAAACTTACAATGCAGAATAGGAAAAAGCGATTAGGCATACTCTATAGCGTATAGGACATTACATTCCTGTTTGTTACATATGCAAAGCGTACGGTATCACTCGAGAAACTTGTTTGACTACACAGAGGCTGGGAATGTATTTAGACGTGAGTTGTGTGGACAAGTTCATAATAACTGAAAAGCATCATCTCAATCATACGACAATTAGTATACTTCATTTTTTACTTCATGTCCAGGGGTTTACTGATAACTACATAAAAAGTACCCATACATAAGTTCACAGTAAATATATTGGATGATAAGAAGTGCACCAACTTCAATGGGATGACGTCAGATGCAGTGACAGAGTTGCATGTTTGGTTATCATTGTAACACCTGGTCATTATGATGTTAAGTACGTAGTTAAGAAGCATGAAATGATAGGCTGTGGTAAGTGCCGTGTCATTTTAGTGGAAGGATCACATGTTATCGTGGGGATAATGGGCTGGGGACTGATAACATAGAAGGCTGTTCGTATTTTGTACTGAGTTCTACTTTTGCTGAAGCATAGGTATCGATAAATCCTCACTGGTTTGCCGCAATATTATCTAGATTTTCATGGCGTATTCGCACCCGATCTAGAAACAATATCAAGCAGGTTTAAACTGACAAATACTCCTGTAGTGGTAAATAAATCCCCAAAATAGACAGCTCTGTAAGTTTTCGACATTGGATGCTGACCACATTAGTTTTAATAGACTCACATGGCCGAAGGCGCTCGGTCATGCATCCACACCAGATCATGAGTAGGAACGCCGTGCTCAACAAACCCTGCAATCGCTAGCCAGATTAGATCAGATGATCCTCGATATATTGATAGCCTATCAAATATATCTTTGAACCTCCTCGCTTATGTCTTTTTATTTCACTTGGTGGGTATGCTTCATATTAAGTGTTACTGGTTAAAGCGTTGTCAAACTCCGAATACCTGTGGCATCTTCACTCTCCTTTTTCTGATGCTTGGAATGGAGTTATAAATCCTTTCATATGTGTTTTTTTAATAAATGAATGTTGCAGCATTTAACTTATGGTGGTAAATCATTGAGTTTTTTATTGTATCGTAAGGGAAATCAGTATTAAATTTACCAAGTATATCCATTCAGTTTATGACTTTCTACACTTATGGACTCCTAGATAGGGATATGAAGACTGGAAAATAATGATTTCGTAAACGTTCAACGTGTAAATCACAAACCTTTAATTAAGTTCGTATTCGTTCTTCAAGCAGGGAGTTTGCAGCTACACACACCATTGCTACTGAATATTACTATTTATGGAGATGATATAACAGAACGTCTATATGAAACAGAATCGTATATCATTGTCGAATTGAGAAATGACAGATCCTAGTGACAAAGTGATTGCATACTATGCATACTCCCTCTATAAATAACTGTGATAAATTTTGTGAACTTGCTGACGTTGGCACAAATTGTGGATGAATGTTGTTACCCCCAGTGATTAAGGCTAATGATATATCAAATCTAGGAACAGTTCATGAGGATGGAGAAAACATTTCTTAAGGAATTATTAAGTACACAAAGGAGTGTGGAAAAAGAAGTCCTACATATGCAACATGTGTGTACTTCTACTGCACTAGGCTATAATCTAGCAGTAAAATAAAAAATCATACATGATTTTTGAACTATGTATAGCAATTCTTGGATTTTGAAGTGAAATGTATTCAACAATATATATAAAATCAGTTTCCCACGGAAACCGTTTCTTAAATTATAGATCAATTTTGAACCTAGTGAGTAGGTGTGGTCTCAAGGTCACGCCTTTTCGCCTGTAAAATTCAGATTCAAATTTATCTAGTACGGATCGAAGGCCTACGAACTATATTATTTCCCTTCTAGTATTATTCCATGAGTGTCTAGTATTCTTCTGAATCAATCGATTGAAAGTGCGGGCACCACTGCTTCGTGTAACAGGTTCCAAGTATAATGACTCGATGTAAAAACCTGTATATCACAGGTATTTTGTTCGTTCATGACTTTTATACTCGCCTACTATATCCTTTGCGACATCCCGATCTAGTGAGAAGAAAAGGAGGGAATACGTTAGGCTCAAAATCATTTCTTAGTATTTCAAACAACAAAATTAGATCTCCCTTTAGTCTGTGATAGGACAGAGTAAAGAGGTCCAGCTTTTCAAGCCGCTTTTTGTATGGTGAACACCAGAGTTCTGGGATTGCGCGGATAGCTGCCCTCTGTACTTTTTCCGGGATATCCGAGTCACCTTTCAAACAGGGGCTTGAATTCTGAACACAGTTCTCAAGCTTAGTTCTCAATAAGGTTGTTTATACTGTAGTGAACATAATAGTACCTATCTTAATAAACGTCCTTTTTAAAGATCATAGAAAGTAAAGGACCTAGGACAAAACCGGCTGCTATTAAAGGCAAATCAATTTCGTAAATGTGGACTTCAGCTTAGCAACAAATCACAATGAGGCGGGAGCTATTGTATCCGCCATCTTTGTAAGCAATGGCGGTCGGCTTCTTTCGTTCTGTGCTTTTTTCAGCTATTTCTTTTGTTTAGCTACAGAACTTAATGTTTCACTGTGCTAAAATGCAGAACTTAATATCATACTCTGAATGTTAGAGCAAAATGTTTCCTCATTTTGCTTTGTTTTTTGGGTTCCGGCTGCTGCTACTGAAGTCAATGTATTTCTTCAGCCAGGCTGGATAGTCTTATCGGTTTTGTTTTGGCTTGTTTTCTAGATATCCATAGCCGAAGCTCGTTTTTTAGCTAAAATAATTGTTGCTGATGCCTCTGACTAACTGTCCGCATGTTCGTTCCTAACTATCCTTTATGATGTTATCGACAAAATGAAAAGAAACAATCTCCGGTTTTCAATTTTTTCTTCAGTACTATGGACAACACTGTCTCACCAACGAGTCAAACTAATACAGATAGCCCAGCAGTAGAGGATATCAGTATTGTTTTCGAAAGGACCCAGACTTCCGATAACCAGAGATGAAGTCACAGATCCTACCAATCTATTGCAGAGAGTTTGTTATGAAAAATATGCCATATGGCAGTAATAGAGGGGTTGTATTCATTACGTCATGCGTTAAAGCGGGCTTAACATTGAAAAGCCGAAAATCTGCTATCAGTGTGTAGTGTATGTTTGCTGTTTTGGCCATAAAAGGAAGCCGAAGGGTCATGATTAGGGAGTAAAAAGGTAATTAACTGTTATTAAGCTCACTTTTTTATAGATCATATTTCGCCACTCGCAAATTTGTGTTTTTTTACGGTTCGATGTCAACCGTTACCTAATATGTTCATCCTTACGATGAAAAGTACCTGCGAATTTTCACTTTCATATTCGAATTATCTTTGGACAACTGACTTCCAGTTTGAGTGCTTCTTACGCCCTGGGAGACTAGATTCTTACATTATTCGTAGTTCCAGTATAACTTTCTCACGCAGTAAGTTCAAACTAGACACTAGTCTTTCTAAATAAGCCTGTTAAGCTGATATCCGTATTCTCAATGTCCGTTAATCGAGGAAGATATGTGCCACGTGCATCTGCTGTATACTGCCATTTTACTCCAATTCTAACTGTTATATCTTAGTTCTGAAAAATAAAATTGCTATATGCAGCAAATACAGACTTATTTTTTTGATGGAGGTAGGGGGGATCATGGGATTTTTAGCAGGACTGTAGTAATATTCTCACTAAAGAGCTAAGCGAGTGCGTAGACCAATGTAAGGTACCATACAGGGTGCCTTTGAGTTGCTAGTGTTCCATTAGTTTAGGCGGGGGCATTGTTTATTAATCATATGGCATTTGAATAAGGAGTGATAAGATTAGACGTAGGTACGGTTAGGATGTGTAACGCGTGTCCATCCATCAGCTGCCGTGACAACTAATGGTGGTTATAATCAGTTATGAGAGGACGCGAGTCTGTAGGTTTCTCAAGAAAATGACGAAGATATGTACTAAATCACTTAAATTTACTACATATGAACTAGATGCTGAGAGGCTCGTATATCACAAGTTTCTTGCAACGAATAAGTAGATAAAACAAAGTAGCATTAGATTTGAAAATTTATTCAGGAACTTTCATTAAAAATCGAATATCAAACAAGGGTTTAAACGAAGTCCCAGTCTAAAAGTTGCACAGTTAATGTTTAGCTGTGGTCTTTGTTGTCTTTTCCAAACGAAAGGGTAGAATAAGTAACTCAAAAAGTGCTGGAAGTGGTTGTGAGTCTAAAATGGACATCCAGCATCCTTTTTATAATCTGCTGTTAGTTGAGTCTCTCGTAAACAGTTTCATAGGGCCATAGTTCTAAGAGCGAAACAGTTCTTAGGATCTGTGTACGCTCACTTCTGTTGCATTCTAAATGAGAAAATAGTGATGAATTTAGTCAGAAATGTGGAATAGATAAATAACCAAATTACATGCTTTTAAGCAAAGAATTTATGCAATTGTGATTTACCTTGAGTTTGTAGTGACTCACTTTTATCACGAGAACACGGCTGATTTATTGTAAACAATTATTATTATAACCAATTATACCAGTGACTGTTTAATGTGCTCTTTGTTTAACTGTACTAAAAACATTCATTATTCTTACACACTTTGATTGTGACCTCGCGCGAATTCGGTTACGTTCTGTAACCAAGCTTGTAACCTGGCACGATCTCGGTATTCTCTCGGTACTACGAGATCTCAAGCAAATATATCTTGGTCCATTAATTGCCTTCTGATATTTGGCTTCCGGGGGATTTTATGCATATCCAGGCACGTGTTTCTTTGTAGTGGTGTTCATAGTCAATTTCGACTCGACACTTCGCTACAAGTTCATGAATATTAGATCAGGTCAGCTACTATTACTTTTGCAAAGCATAACATGGGCTTAGTACCGTACCGCAATGCTTTTATTCTTTTGCTCCCATTTAAGTATTCCCATGCATCTGCGTCTAGTTTAACAGGAAGACATACCAGCAGGGTTAGTGTCGGATAAACTAAATGTCCCAGTTGTCAAAAAGAATCTTAAAATTTATCCACAGCGAGCTACATTTAACTGAGACACAGAACACCCATCTTCTAAGACTGTATACTGCTGTTTTGCGGGCAACTAAAAGCTCAGACACTTAGCCATCCTGCTACCGATGTTACTGCTGGGGAAATTGTTTGATGACAGTGATCTTGAAATATGGTCAGTGATAGATGTACAGTCTATAAATCAACACGAACCATACTTAAAGCTACCTTATAATGTATGACAGCAACAGTACAAAGGGCATTTTCCTATTTTCAATCAGACTGATTTCAATCAGTATACTCATTAGAAACAGGCAGCTCTACTTACAAAACTGATCTGTTTCGTTACAGGCATCAAGCACTGTACTTGAGTATACCATAATTCTTCTGACTAAACTGAACCTTATACAATACGCATTATGAATTCAGAGCCTCTGAACCTTTATCAAACCTTAACAAGTTTTTAAATCATGTAAAAGAAGAATATCCACTGTAATTCATTACTTACATACAATATATTCTCACTTTATACTAACTGTCTTCTGATTGGCTAATAATTGTCAAGGTCATTTAAGATTCGTTCAAAGGTCGTCGCTAAATTAGAGTCTCGCCCGATTTTCTATATAGTTTCATCAATTTTATCAATCATATTACGTGGTCTTCAAGTCATGAAAGTGATTTATGATTATATCCACGAACAATTATGTTCAACCAGTTATAGTGTTGATTGTGGACTAGACAGTGGAAAATAGGTATTATAGTTTTAGGTCATTCTAAATTATCAGAAATTTGTTGACTTACTGAATTCGAGTTACCTGGTAATATCACTGATATAACTCAAAAATATTCGTCTACAAAGTACTAATTTTAATTTTAGACTCAAGTGATTTTGTTTTGAACGTTTTCGTGACTTGCAATTACGTGATAGTTTAGTTATTAAACCAGTGTATTATGATAGTACCCAAATTTGATTATCTAAACTATATTCGTCTTTGGTGATTTTCACAAATTATGTCTATCCACCTCCAACGTCTTTTCCTAATTTCCTCTTCAGCTGGAAGCTGGTTTGTTTCCTCCCACAGTAGGTTGTTGCTGATGGTATCCGTCCAACAGACATTGAGTATCTTTGGTAGATAATTGTTTATAAATACTTGTACTTTTTGATGATGTTTGTGATAGTTCTCCGAGTTTCAGCTCCACACAGTAAGGCTCTCTTGATGTTCTTATTGAAGTTTCTGAATTTGATGTTAGTTGACAGTTGCTTTCAGTTTCATATGTTCTTCAATTGTAGGAATGCGGTTCTTGCTTTGCGAATCCTCGACTTTACGTCTGCATCAGATCCTCCTTGTTCATTTATGATGCTACCAAGATACGTTAAAGTTTCCACCTCTTCCAGAGTTTCTCTGTTAAATGTGATTATTGGGTTGGTGTTCTCCGTGTTGTATTTGAGGATGCTGCTTTTTCCCTTGTGTATGTAGAGGTCTACTGATGCAGAGACTGACACTACACTGTTTGTCTTGACCTGCATTTGTTGATGTGTGTGGGATAGAAGGGGTAGGTCATCTGCGAAGTCCAAATCATCTAGTTGCATCTAAGCTGTCCGTTGTATTCCATGCTTTCCCTCAGATGTGGAGGTCTTCGTAATTCAACCGACTATCAGAAGAAGGAGAAAGAGCGAGGGTGAACAATCTTGTCTGTAACCGATCCTCACTCCGAATGCATCTGTCAGCTGTCCTTCATGCACGACTTTGCAGTGTAGTCCGTCACGAGGACTCCGTATGTGGTGAT